AATGTCCTCGTTTGTATGAGTGGCTTCAAAGTAAGATTGTATGTCGTCGAAACTTACGTATGCTTCCTTCCTGATTTGCGTCTCATCGCATCTGACACCCACCACCACCCACCCAACCCAAGCACCCCCTGCAACTCGATGCGTTTTGACAGGCAGCGCGCATTCACTCCCACGGCACTTGAGACCCCTTCAGGAAAGTGGCGAGCAGGGCCGGCGGGATAGTTGGTTTAGCTTAGCTACAGAACACACAAGACATGATTCTCTTCCAGAATTTCTGCTTGATTTAGATTGCGCAGACGGTTTGGCCAAGACTTGCTGCGCGCCGCGGCAGAACGCAGGTGAAACTTGTGCTTTATGCCAAAATCACGCGATTTACGTGAGGAACTTTTTCTGCTCGTCCAACACAACCCGATGCAACCAACCAGGCAACCCAAACACAACCTTGACGGCGTTGAAGATCTTCGCTGCAGAATGCGTGTGTTGTGCCACTGTATTATGTAGGTAATATGCAGCCTGTGTAACGCAGGTCGACAACAATAGCCTTGATTTAGCGTAACGAGATATTTGACGAATGATTCTGCGTTGCGGCCGGCTCAGATCGTTTCCTGCCTGGGCAGTTGTCCCACGTGTTCAAACAAGGCGCCCTGAAAAAAATACAGACGGTTGAGAAGAGGCCAGCTTGCAGAGTTGAATCACGATGGTGTGCTTGAATTCGCCAATGACTCATTCTGGCTTGAGACAATATAGCAGCAGTTGATGATTTGTGGTTCGGAGGGTTATCGAGTTGTTCGGACCCATATGACTGATGAACTCTGTTGATCAGGACTATGTCAAAACTTTGAGGATGTTGCCACGATGCTCAAGACAAGTGTCTTTCACTGGTCTTGGATGAAGGAGATTAAGGTTCTTTTGTCATAACGTATCATCATCTATCGTAGCAGATGCCCTTCTCCTTAAACTCAAAGCCGCGAGGCTGTCTAGACATAGCGCACAATTCTGCCATGCCATGATGTTGGGTATCTATTCCAGGCCGTCTGATGATCCATGCAGCCACTCCGTCTTTTCTTCTGTCTGTCTCCGGCCCGGACCCGGGCTCTTTTACCGACCCCGGCCCCGTCCACCACCCCGTCCACGTCCCCGACCGCCGCGGCCGCCTCTTCCGCCCTTTCCACCTCGGAACGCACCCTTGTCGAAGCGCTCATACAGCTGCTCCTCCCCAAACGCCGCCTGTCCGAATCGCATGAAGTTGACCAGTCCGCGGTCGACCACGGCGATCAAGACGTTGCGGTGGCCGTGCCTCAGGCGCTGGTACATCCTTCCCGGGCCGGCCATCGCGACGGGGTCGGGCGGTTCATAAGGCGAGGCGCCCAGCAGCGCGGAAACCTCTTCGAAAGAGGGCACGGCTGTATCCCGTGCGTCCGCGACGGCGATGCGGATATCGGGCGGCGGCAGGTCCGTCACGCGGATGTTGGGGTGTTTTGACGGCTTCCAGACGTGCCAGCACACCTTAAAAGGGTCCTCCGGCTCTTTCGTTTCTGACGGAGCCGTGGGCTTGTATCGTGACAAGAGCTCAAGCTGCTTGTAGATGTGGGTGTACTGGCGGTAGACGCCTGGTCGAACGAGGGGCCCGTACGGTGCGGGCTTGGCCGGGGCGCGGTCCAGCAGTGAGACGAGCCACTGCCAGAGGGACTGTTTCGGTTGCTCCGGTTGAGTTTGCTGGGACATAGGGTCTCGTGGCGCACGTTGAACATGATATCCTAGCCGCTTCAGGTGTGAGTAGACCTGGTATTTCGGCAATGAGATCTTGCCCCTCTCGCCATCCATGCCGATGAAGAGTGAGTATGCGGCCTGAAGACTCAGAGGCAAGCCAACGTCGAACTCATCCTCGGATTCCGCCCCCTTCTCAGCATTCTCCTTTTGCTCTTCAACCAGCTTCACCTCTGGCGGTGGCAGAATGTCCTTCAGCTCGCGGAACGGCCACCAGAGCTCCAAGCTACCCCTCTCAACCAGAAACAGCGCCTCTTCGGGCAGGAGCCACAACTTTCCCACCGCCGGCCTCGGCGCCTTGAGTCCTCTGATGACACGTCCCGTGCTCTTCGCCTGAGGTCCCTTCAGCTCCTCGACAACGACGACTCTCTCCTCAGCGTATAGCGGCCTCGTCTCGGCCAGAAACTCCTTCAGGTACTCTGGCTTCGCAAGCCCAGAGGTATCGCCCCGCTCCACAATGCCTTCAAGCGCCTCCGGCCAGTAGTCCGGGAAGTACCAGCCCTTGCTCCACGCATCGCGGTGCACGCGGGTGTAGCTCAGAACCTCCTCGATAACCTGCCGACTCGCCTCGAGCTGGTTCTCTTGTGCCTTCGTACCGTGTGACTCGAAATCTTTCTGGCCCTTGCGGATGGCCTGGGTCGCGACGCCCTTCTTGTTGAACATTGACGCGAAAAGGCGCATGTCGAAGATGCCCTCGTCTTCCGCTTCGTCGCCAGCGCCGGTCTCGTTGTTCGGCTGGGCGATGGGCGCCGCCGTCGGGTTGTCGTCGTCGTCGAGCGGCATTTTCGCGGTGGTGATGTCGGAGTGCGATTTTTGGTTCCGTCGAATTTGACGTCGCCTAGCTCAGGGCATGGACTCTGCGATTGACCTTCCCTCCGTCTCCGTAACGGGTCGTGGGGTGTGAATGTTCTTTGCACTGGGGTGTGAGTCTTCGCCGATGAACCCCTCCAGGTCGGAAAATTTTGGGCCAGGCGCGGTTCAGGGAGCTTGGGCCAATGGAAATAAATTAGCGGGTAAGAAGCCAGAAGACCACTGTTAATTGAGCCTCCGCCAATTCATGCCCGGCATGTCATACTGCATGATAAAGCTGACCGGTCAGCGAAGCTGACATTCTGTTCAGGCGATTCGGTCTTCGAATTCTCTATTTTAGAGTTTCATTTATCAAGCTGCGTTGTGGAATGCTTCCCTGGCCATGGAGGGATTCGGGAACGTGCGTGATTCGGGTAATGGTGTCTCTAAGCACCTCAAGATCATACTCTCAGTGCGTCGCAGCTTAATAGCATGACTGGAGATGAGTAGGAATAAAGGCCGTGACCCGATAGCTAGTATTCAAAATGATACGGAGATCACCAGCTAAGCGCCTAAAATGAATAGCGAATATTAGCAAAAAAAGATCGTGCTGATGGAGACGAGATTCGAACTCGCGAGGTTTCCCACTGCGGGCTTGAGGTATCAGATGATAACCTACTGTAGGAATTGTTAGTGACAGAATCGAACTCGAGCATCTTGAGGAGATACGTACAACACAGCGCCTTAACCACTCGGCCACTCCACCGGAGGTGTTTGTTGAGTTTCGGGATCAATTTGAATGTCAAGAAGGTTCGGGCAAGTGCGGGGGTTTGCGGGCAGGTCATCCGACCGCTGCGGGACGCTAGGCCGAGTGGGGAAGGCTCCAATGGGCCGCTTCTATTCGCAGCGTCCAACCGCAACCCTTGTGACTTCGACTTATCATCCACAGCTGCGCCCTTATATGAGCGATACACGAAAGACTTACTAACAAGAGTGCGGCTTGCGCGATCACAGAAGTGCTTTGCTCGGTGTAGATTATTTTTTCTTTACTCGAAAGTGTCCACTACAGGGGCTCAGCATGTCTCCTCCTCACTAGTGGAACGACTCTTCGATGCGAGTGCGCGGCCCACTAACATGCCATGAGATGTGAGACAAGCATCCGGACAACAATGGTTACAAGCTCAGGAAACGACCATGGTGGGTTGGAGATACATTCCGCGCTTATACGGAGATGCAGAAGCGGTCTTATCTACCTTTCGTGTTATCACCTTACTATGAATCTGGCAGTTCGATGGATTCGACGGTCATGCCCCATCGTCAAGCGGGGCCGCGGCTTCTTAAGCTCAGTAAGCATAGGAACTTTTCATTGCCTTCCCGGGCTTGGATTGGTGGTTTAATTTGCGGTTAGCGTAGATGAAGCCTGGTGTTCGATTCACTATGTCTTCAAGCGTGTTTGCTTGCGTAGGCACGCGACTTTTTTCACCTTTTTGTGGCAATAATGAGCAACTTTTCTCGGCTCTGAGAAACTGCTCAGGCATAGAAAAACTTGATTTTTGTCTGCGGGACTTAATTCACGGCCTCGTCGTCCTCACCGCCACCGCCATCGCTGAAGACGGCTCGACCACCCAGCTTCCTGTTACCAGATTTGGCCTGTGCGTGATATTGAAGCTCGAAGTCGGATTCACGTAGGCTTTTGGGATCTGTGATAAAAGAGATCAAATCAATTTGCATTTTGAACTTTAAATAGCTGTTAGAAGGTTTGTTTCCACGTAGTTGCGTTAACGAAGTTATTACATTGACAACACCAGGCTCATTCACCTCCAACATGGTAATCCAGCTGCCGTTGTAGTTCCAGCGAACTTTCGTCTCCAGTTATGGCACGTTGAATGGGTGTGTTGGAGAGCGCGGGGTTTGGCAAAGTCGAGGAAGTGACTTTGTTTTGGGCAACAAACGTGGGACGGAGTTGAAAGGGTTTGATGAAAGCACTGCAACTCGTGTGGGCACTTTTGGCTAAGGGGCCGGGTTAGTATATGGTACTATTCGGGCATGGTGTCTCTCTTCGTGTATAGTCTCTGTCATTATCATCGTCGTTGTCTTCATCGTTGTCCCTGTCTTCATCTTTTCCCTAGTCATTCTGATCATCTCTATTCGCCCGGGCAGAGGAACTGTTCTGCCTCTGTAATTGGACGGCAGAGGGTCAGGATAATGAAGACAGGACATTCCTTCTGGAGATCAATACAATCCGGTCATAGTCAAATGTACTGTCAAGCTTATTTTTTCATTTGGAATGATGCAAAATAGGTATCCATGGATATCAATAATGTCTCAAGAACTGAATACAGGCCCTCCATATGTCACAATCCTCCAAACAAACAAAGCTCTCCTAGCCGCACACTTCATCACTCATATCTCTCGCCCCTTTTAGTTATTCTCACAGTCACCCCTTAAGCGGAAGTAGCAGAGGGAGCGGCGGTAGACGAGAAGCCGGGAGGAGGTCCTCCAGGTCCGCCAGGTCCGCCGGGGCCGCCGCCGCCACCGCTCTGGTCGACACCACCACCCTCGTAGTAGTGCGCAGCAGCGCTGACCTGGTCGTTGTAGTCCGCGGTGGAGTCGATGCCGATGGTGATCCACATGAGGAGACCATCCTGGAGGTCGTCGCCGAGCTTGACGTACTTGAGGAAGGGGTCAAACTCAGCCGTAGCCTCGCCGGCGGCGATGCCGTCCTGGAGATTGGTGGTGAGGGTCTGACGGTTGCTGGCGTAGGGCTCGAGGAGCTCGACCTCGGAGATGATGCTCTGGTCGAAGAAGATCTGGCCAATGTTGCGCGCGGTGCCGCCCTCGAAGGTGCTGTTGGGCAGGATCTCGGCGCCGTCGGTGGACATGATGTGGATGTGCGTGGCGCGGCCGGTGTAGTGGCCCGGGAAGATGGTGTCGAACTCGACGACGCCGTCGGAGTCGGTCTGCTGGACGCCGCGGCCGTGGGTGGTGTTAAGGCCGCCCTGGCCCTGGGCGGAGACGCCGGAGTAGACGCCGGTGGCGTTGCAGTGCCAGGCGTCGATGAGCTGCTCGGGGACGGCGCCGCAGCCGTTGATGTCGATGAACTGGATGTCCAGGTGGACGGGGACGCCGCCCTGGCCGTCGGTGATGTCGGTGCGGATGAGCTCACCCTCGACGTAGTACGGGCCGATGGTGGTCTCGGGGACGAGGGTGCAGGTGGCGTTGGATCCGAAGATCTCGTCCAGGGGAGTGTCCAGGGTGTAGCCGGCCTCCGAGGCGTGGTCGATGGCGGCCCACTTCTCGAGGTCGGCCTGGGCGCGCTTCATCATCTTCTGGCCGTGGAGGCCGCGCTCGGCACGGAGACGCTCGGCGGTGGCGGCGCGGCGGTCGAGGGCGCGCTGCTTGAGAGCCAAGGCGGCGGGGGAGTTGGAGCAGGCATCGAGGGCACGCTTTCCGACGGCGGTCACCTTGGAGCGGAGGGCGAGCTCAGCAGCGATGTCCTCTGCGGTGTGAGTACCGTGGGCAGCGACGTTGCCCAGGAGAGGAGAGATGGCCAAGGCCGCGGCGAGGGCGGTGCGAAGAGCCATTTTAGTCGGTAAAACACACGGAGGAGCAGGCGAGGAGGGCTGGAGTGAAAGACTGAAGGAGGTGAAGAGCCTGATGAGGAGAGAGACTTGATTGTAGAGGAGAATCACGCCTCTTCTTATAACACCGTCCTTCTTGGCATCTTCATGAACCATGATCTGCTTCTCTACGGTGCCTACCGAGCACTCTCGGCCAACTCCTTGCCATCTCCTTGATCTTTTCGTCTTGGCAGTACCATGCTATGCCGTGATCAATGGCCGCCCATCAGGAAACACACATCTTGCAAAAGCAACGACATTCCGCAACGAGTAGAGAAGCAACCCCCGTCCCCACAATTCCGCAGCGGCGTCTCCAAGACATCGTCGTCACCTTCCCTCATCGATGTTTCGCCGGCGGCCAGGGACGTCGAGGAGAGGATGAGTTGGTGGTTTAGCCGCGGACCGTAGCGCCCCTCGGAGGCTAGCAGGGACCAGCTTCCGCCACCCCGCAGGACCGGGGTGAATCTTGTTCGGAGGGGGGGATCGCCCAGGATCATCTAATGTCCAATGACAGCGGACGTAATTCCAATTGCGTTGCGTTGGTCAAATCTATGCGGCACCGTACGTGGTAGTGTAAAGGCATAGTTACAAGGACAAGAAGGCGTACGGGAACGCGGTGGGGACGCGGAAGGGGAGTGGGTCCCGGGGAGGATCTGGCGCATCGGGATGTGGGCGGGTGTGGTTACGCGGCTCGGCCGAGACCCAGGAGCAAACAACACCTGCGGCGGGAACTGCTCAACGAAGAGGAAGGAGGAAACCATCAAACAGCCCTGGAGCGGTTTGATGGGAACCACATTACGCGGACTGGGTCGCGCTTCACACTGCCAAGAGCCCTTCTAGCCACAACCAGCCAAAGACGGGTTGACGTGCTGGCAGATCCAATTTGCTACGGTTTCATCTGTCGAGGGGCTTTTGGTTAGTACAGGCGTTGAGAGGAGGCTATTCTGGCGGCGGAATCACGGTAGTTACGCTTGTGGAGCCGTCGATTGCCTCCCGTTGGCGGCGCAGGGCCAGATATGCTTGAATATTCTAGCCCCCGACGATCCTTGAAATGTGGACTGGCGCATGTGAGGCCGGGTAGGTGACGCGTCCTGAGCGAATGAGGCAGCAAGTGAATGTAATAGACGTTGCTGAATGGAGAAGGCGGACTGTAGGCCGGAGAAATAGATTGTATGGTTATTATCTTACCCGCTAGATAGGCCTCGGAGTAGTAGTTCAAGGATGGAAAGTGGTAATGGCGTCCGTACAAGTTCAAGCTTGTTGATGATCTCTCATGATGGTCCCGGTTATCGAGGGGTAGTGCAACCGCTTGCCCCTTTCTCTGCGCCACTGACGTGCTTCACCGACCTCTAAGAAGCCAGGACTTCCTTTTCATATGCCAGACCGAGGAACGAATGGTCCGTACTCGCATCACCAAAGACCCTCCCAATATCCCCGGGACCCGGCGGCCCCAGATCCCGAGGCTGTCGTCTGTTCATCTCATCCCACCGGGCTCATAAACAGGCTCATGCAGGCACAAATCCTTCGAACTTGCGCTCCAGCGTTATGATGTATTCAAACAGGTGCCTGTTTCCCAAATAAGTATACAAATCAGCATCATAAACGACATATGAACACGTCCGCTCGTTTTCTCATGCGAGCTTCCCAACAATGTACGGGTGTCCCGCGCTGAGGCCGCCATCGACTGCCCATTCCTGACCATTTACATAGCTGCTCTCGTCGCTGCCCAGGAAGAGTGCCACACGCGCAATCTCGTCGGCGTGCCCGCCGCGCCTCATGGGGTTGATCTGGCCGATCCTGCCCGTGGTGCCGCGGGCGCGGGCCGCGCTGTACACGGGTGCCGTCATGCCAGTCTCGATGAGTCCTGGGCAGATGGCGTTCACGCGCACGTTCGTGCCGGCGAGTTGGTAGGCAGTGGTCTTTGCGACAGAGATGACGGCGGCTTTGGCAGCGGAGTAAGGTGTCGAGCCAGCATTGGAACGGATGCCGGCGACGGAAGCGGTGAGGATGATGCTACCGCAAGGGGCCGGCTTCTCTGTGGATGTCTTTTGCATGGCGGGCGCACCGTGCTTGGCGGCGAGGAAGACGCTGCAGCGACGAGTCAGCATATTGGGACCGTAGAAGCGCCGCAATGTTCGCTTGTTACCTCAGGGTATTGGTGCGCAGGTTCTCCATAAAGTCCTCCTCGGTGATTTCTGTAAAGATGTTATGGGGTCCGGCGATGCCGGCGTTGGCGAAGAAGATGTCTAGCCTTCCATATGTTGACATGGCATGGCCAACAACCTCCTTGACGGCGCTTTCGTTTGCGGCATCGAATTGGCGCGTGTGAATCTCGACCTTGGGGAAAAGGCTGTTCAGCTCGCGCTTGTGAGACTCGAGGTTGCTGTCGGCAAAGTCGCAGATGTAGATGGCTCGGGCACCGTTCTCGGCATATTGGTGGGCCGCGGCGCGACCGATACCCAGGAGGGAGTTTGCGCCTGCTCAATTGTCAGTCTCTGGGTCACGATAACGGTTCCACTATTTGATGTCATGGATTCAACTAACCTGTGATAATGACGACCTTGCCCGGTACGCGAGGTGCGGCAGATGGGCCGGCGACCTTGGTGATGGGGGCGGGGCCGTCGAGCTGCTTGCCCACGGCCTGGAGTCTTTGCTGCGCCTTGTCCGCCATAATGGTGATGATGGTAAGAGTAACTCAATTGAATTCAGAGCAAACGGTTTACATGACTCCAAGAAGAGACGAAGATGGATCAAATCGCTGGGCCCGCAATACTATGAAGTAAGAAGTCGGAGTTGGAGGAAATTGAGGGGACTGGAGGCCGAGGAAGCTATAGCTCCTTGGATGGGGAATTTGGACCGAGGCTCGCCGGCCGAAGCTCACTGCGCTAGGCGATGGGACGCCATTGGCGGGGTTACCCCAGACTGTTAGGGGGCGACCAGGTCGGGTATGCTCCCCGGACGGGCCGTCGGTCGCTTTTGTGGTGGAGGCGTCTCAGACATCATGTCCACCACTATCACCTCGATCAAATTCCACTTGCCAACTGTCGCTCTTGAGAATTTGATGATCTCAACTCTGAACCGACAAACTATCAAGAACATCGTAACTTAGAAGAACGAACAGTAGGACTGCTCGGCGCTATCGGATCTTGCACATTGCTTCGGCCGAGATCGAGATATGGCCCATATCAGTGGCATAGTGGCAGTCGGAAATGTAATTCGAGTAACTCTCTCAGGTGTGAAAATGGAGTTGTCTCTTAGCAGTAAACGATCACGAAAAACTGCGGAACCTACAGCTCTTCTAATTTGAGCGATCCCAACGGCAATTGGTCAGCGCTTCTGAAGATCCCAAGGCCAAGATACTGGGCGGGCAAAGTCGCTTCCTCTCAAAAGTGTTGCAGAACTCAAAGTTCGGGAACTACGAGCGTTGAACAGACCCGAGGCAAAAGTTGCACTCCAGTCTCGCTTACCTGAATTAGTATCCTGAGTTATATGCTCACTTACCTCGTTTCTCAGACAGGTAGGCAGTCTGGAGCCCTTTGTACACCGAGTCCCCCGTTTCACAGCATAGCGTCTGGTTTCGGCTTTTACCTCACAACTTTCGCCGTCGCCAAGACGAGGAATGTCTCCTCGTCTTGTTGTCGTAACCGAAGATGACCCAGCGCATAGATATAGAATAGCTTCAGTCATACGTTTCTCTCACTATTGGTCAAATCAATAGGTACATACAGCCATTTCACATCTAAGCCCGGCGACTTTAAGATGATGCTGTGCCGAATACTCAAAAGCGGAGCTCAACAGCTCAGCCGCCGTCATGTTTGAGGAAAGGATGTTCAATGTATTCGAGTATCGCAGCGATGACAAGTGTCGTGATTGCCATCCGAACCTTGCCTCCCATGCCAGATAAATGAGCACGCCTCTGGTTGACTTCAAGGTGGTGTCCAATAGTACTTACAAGTTTGTAGATAACGTGTCGTTTATCCTCCCGCCAAGACCATAAAAGGTAGCGCCAACAAAATGCAGCTGGAGCCTACAAGGTAGGAAAGCTTGTCCGGAATCTGTTGTATGATGTGTCCTGAAACTCTTGAGCGGAAGCGGCTTTTGGCGGTGCTTCGTTGAAAGTATCTAACCTTTTGGATTCCCCTCGCGATCCTCGTGCAGCAAGGCTGGCGTTGGTTTGGTTCGACCATTTGCCACTATCGGGTAGGAGGAGGAGGATCACATCGAGACTCGCCAATATATTCATACACCAAACATTGCCCCAACATCTTCTTTTTACAATTCTTTGCATCATCATCTCTCAATACACCATACGTTATTTCTACGAATCCCCAAGTTCACCTTCAAGATATCGCGAGCAAGACCCGACTAAGATACGTGGCCACTCCGATTGATGCGGTCACTATGGCAGTGTTTACATACCTTTATGTGCTCGAGGACAAATACATTCGGCCATTTTACTCGGCCATTTTCCCACCTTTAGTCGAAGGTAACATATCCAAATCACCATGACATAAGCGGCTTTGCATTGGATTTTCCATGGTACCGGCATCGTTCTCACGATGTCTTCCAGCTCATCCTACTTACTAATGCCTTCCGGAATGTCTATGGGTTTTCCTTCTTAAGGCTTGGTCTTCAGCTAGAGAAGCCTACCGAAAGAAATGCTCGAACGCGTCGTCGAGTATACTGCCAAAGGCTATGCAGACAAAGTGAATGACAAGGAAACTCAGAGAGCCTAGAAACGCTGGCTTGATGGTTCTGAAGGCATGCAAGATAAGAGCAATCAGTGACTCGTTTAATCCCGGTGCCTGATATAGTGACACGGAAGAAAAAGACCAAATCCAATGCTGTGATACATGCTTTATACCAGCTTGTGTTATGTGCACTCATCTCTTCGCCAAGCTCTCTTGTCCCTCCAGTATCCTCTTCCGCCCAATTTTCCTTTGCGGCCATGCCCTAAACCATGCAGACTCGTCAAGTTCACTACATTAATCTTGCTCTTTGCATACTTTTATAATATCCTCTTCGGCATCTTGCACACGATGAAACATCTCTTTGGCCAAGAAGCGGACTTGATCCTATACCAAGCAGCTATGTGGAGCTGAACGAAGGTTATGTCACTGCGACATCCGACGATCGCACTCTCAAACCAGACACTGCTACCCCAAAATTCTCATGGGAGCCTTCAAGAGTCTAGACCGTTCATTTCTTGGCGCCGTCTCTCTCAAGGAGATGTTACTTGAAGTTGATATCGAGGAATTTCGCATGCAGCACTACAAGTGGCCCACGAACTTGCGGCTCAATGAAGAAAGAAGCAAGAATATTACGATTTGGAATCGCGGGAGGGTGACTGCCGGGTGGAATACCGTCGGTCTGGCACCCCTTACAAAAGCACACCGTAGGCATGTAAGCTGAAAAGGGAGTCTCGGAATGAGTTTATCAGCCAAAGTAATTGTGTTTGCTTCTCGATGCAGGCTGGCAGAACCCAGATCTTGACAAACCCGTCGATTGCTAACCTTGCTCAACTATTCCTTCATGGAAGCAAGCCTTCTGGACGGCAGAGGAGTAGGGATAATCGCTTTCACTTACATTTAGCGTTTGAGTTAAGCTCCATGTCAAGTGGATGCATGCCGGCTGCTTAAATCCTCCATCGGTAGCTTATCTCCATCAGGCATATCTCGCGCTTCCAAACAACACATCGAAACCTTCATCCCATCGATCCTGACGTCAGTTTCACAAGTCAGCCAGTCTTCGGGAAGCAATGCAAGACCAAGTTTTGACACGAGAAAGTCTCGGGGACACACGGCCCCGCACCGAGTCATAGCCGTAGGAAACTCGAATCGGGGACGCCACCGGAGCTTCGAACGATTCTTCTACCCTGGGCATGTCTTAGAGGTTCTTGCACCGCTTTGATGTTGGGTCACACGTATTCGTGAGGCCCCGGTGAGAGTGCCCGGGGCAGAGACACCGTCTGATCATATGTGCCCTCCCCCGCAAGATCATGGCGCTCGATGTCGCTCCCCCGCGCAGCATCGTCTGTAAACCGTGTGCTGTGCGTGGCTTTCGGACGATGACGGTCGTCTATGCGGGTGAACTTTGGCGAAGGCCCGGGCCGGACGTGCATTAGGTAGAGAAGCAGAGTAGAAGTAAGATAGCACCCGTCCGTAGAGAATCCTGCCGGATAGTCTCTCCCGCATCATTTGGGGCACAGCGAAAGCGATATAATGCCATTTTTCGACTACGTGCGAGATACGCTTGCGTGGCAGGCCATTCGTTTGGTGACGGGTGGCACGCTGCCCGAGTTTCAATATTTCGATGAACGACATCCTTTGCTTAGACAGAGGTATGTGAATGACAGCGCTCGAAGAAATGGGCCGCAGGAGACGACGGAGGCGATGGGGTCATACGCGAGCAGAGGTCCGGCTCTGAAACGCAACGCATCGGAGAACAGGGCGAGGAACGCGACTAGAGATCCCTACACACGCGGGCGCTCTTTTGACGAACCAAGATTACCACATAGCCACTGGTCGAATGAGACTCTGGAGATCTCGAACTTGGAGAAGTATTCTTCCAACTCGCCGATCGCCAACAGAAACTTTCACCTAGTCCAATTTCTTCCAGACGATCCAGAGGTACAATCCAATCAATTTGGTGTCTGCTGTTTTCCACTGACGTGAAATCAGGACCCGAGAAACTGGACTGGTCTCAAGAAAACCATCGTCAGCTTTCAGGTTTGCCTACTCATTGCCTGCACATATGCCGGTGCGTCCATCTATACGGTCGGGACGGCCGGCGTGAGGGAGCAATTTGGAGTCAGCGAGGATGTTGCCCTTCTTGGACTGACCACGTTTGTTCTTGGATACGGAATCGGACCAGTGAGTTGAGTTCTACACCATTAAGACATCGTTATCTCATTTTGGCGCAGATGGTTTGGAGCCCGCTGGAAGAGATGCCCCAACTCGGGCGAAACCCCATTTACGTCTTCGCACTCATCATGTTGATTGTGGCTCAAATACCGATAGCTCTGGCCACCAACATCGGCATGCTGCTGTCCTTCCGGTTCATTGCCGGTTTCTTCGGTTCTCCAGTTCTGGGTTCGGGGGGCGGAATCCTGATGGATTTGTACGCAGCGCGAAAGCAGACCTATGCCATGGCAATGTGGGCTCTCATTGGCATTGGGGGCCCGACAATTGGCCCGATCATCGGTGGGTTTGCTGTCGAAGCCATGGGCTGGAAGTGGACGGCTTGGATTACCGCCTGGATGGGGACGACAACACTCGTCGTGATGCTCTTCTTCCTCCCGGAAACCAGCGCCGACAACATCCTGTACCGACGTACTCTTCGACTACGCAGGGCAACAGGCGATCGACGATACATCTGCGACGCTCAAATCAAGTGGGAAGACACGACGGGGAGAGAGGTGTTTTTGACTCATCTAATCAGGCCGTTCACGATGGCCATGACCGAGCCGGTTGTCTTCCTCCTCACGCTATACAGTTCCTTCATCTACGGCCTGATGTACATCTGGTTCGAGGCACTTCCCATGGCCTACGAAGAGGTCTACCACTTCGACCTGGGAACTCGCAGCATCACTCTTCTGGGCCTGATCGTCGGTGTCCTTTTGATAATTCCTCCGTTCTTCCTCTACTATAGGAAGCGCATCGAGCCTCACTTCGACCACCTGGGCAACATTGAGCCTGAGAAGCTCCTATTGCCAGCCATGCTTGGGTGTCTTTTCCCGCCGGCTAGTCTGCTGTGGTTCGGGTTTACAGCGAAACCCACTACCCACTGGAGTGTTCCCATTGTCGGGTCATCTTTGTTCACATCAGGCGCCTTGCTGCTGTTCATTTCATTCATGAACTATCTCGGAGAGTCGTTCCCGGATCATATCAATTCAATCTTCGCAGGGCATGAGATATTCACTAGTCTATGCGGCGGCACATTCCCTTTGTTTGTGCCGCTGTTGTATTTCAAGTTGGGCATACTCGGATCGAGCATCTTGCTGGCCATTTTTGCTGTGTCGTTTGTTCCTGTACCTTTCGTTCTCTTTTTGGTAAGTTTCCGAATGACAAACATTCTGTGACAGTGGCTGACTTCATCACAGAAGGGTGCAAAGCTGAGAAAGCGTAGCCGTCACACTAGAAAGGATAGTTTCCACGCCTAGAGACATATACAAGCAACAAGAGCATTCTATCAGAGCGATGAGATGAATCTCTATCCGATAAGAAATAAAAAATGAAGTTGTGACGCAGCCGATCCTGAATGTCTGCGAGAGCTCCGCGAGACTAAGACGGCACCCCCCAGCAGTCTAGTCTCTCACAAATGTCGAAGGCCATTTCATTGCACTTTCTGAGACATTCAATGGGATGAAAGTCCGGGTTTCCGCACTTCACAGAGCAATGCGTATAAACACGCAGAACACATTTCTCGAGGACTCCAATCATACAGTCAGAAGTGTTCTCGTCGATGTAGAGGGGCGGCAGTTGAGAAATTTCTTGCGCGATGAACATAGGTATGAAGTCGACCTCTGGAACGTTTTTGATGATCTCGATCTCGTCTGAAGTGAATGGACGATTGATCGCTGTGGCGATGGTGCCGAAGAGAAGGGCCTGGGCGTTGAATTAGTGCACATGGCAATGAAACGTGTTGTGGGATGATGCCGATTTCGAAAGGACTTACGATGTTTTTCATATGCCTGACGGCAAGTATGTTAGCGGCTTGAGTGGGTTTGTCAAATGAGTCGAGTAACGTGGCTATGAGGGTCGACCCGGGGCTGGCTTGATATAACAAAGAAACGGCAAGATGATAATCATGTTAGCAGAGGAGATTCGCCATCGTTGACCGTCAAATCTGTCGCATACCCACCTAACCGAGGCATGTTTCCTGTTCCAGAGATACAACGCTGTACGACGTGACAGGCATATTCAGTTGCTATCCTCCTTTTCACCCGATACTGCATGTGCTTCCTGGGTGTTTGGTATGACAAAGAGTCGCACAAGGTCCGCTGTATATGATTTCAAGCCAGGCATTTCTCCGCTTCACACACCGTCTGGAGCAAATCTTGGACATATTGGACCTTGGGGACGGGCCAGGGCATAAACAATCTATCTTCCGAGAAGGTCCAGAAGTGCCGATCGCTGCCACGAGAATGTGATGACGTTCGCTAAGTCAGGTCTACTGCCTTCTTGATGCGTAGGTTGGGTTGCTGGTTGCATGGGTGTCTTTTGACTGCCCGGCCAGTCCCTCTGCGTACGCCGGGCCGGAGCCATCTATCGGCCCCACATCTCCGGATGCTGTCCAATACACCATCTCTTCTCATTAAGGTCGCCAGGACTTTTTGACTTATATGAGGAATAGCAGAAGAAATTATTGCCAAGTTCACGCAATATCACATGTACAAATGAATGTCTTCTTGTTGTAGTTCTACCAGCTAATAGCCCTCTCAAACACCAAACTTCTTCAAGTCCTTGACCAAGTCATTGATGCTCTCCTCCAAACTCCTCCACTTAATTCCCAGAATCTTGGCTGTCTCCGAGTCATCATACCCGTAGACCTTGTCCTTCGGCGGCTGCTCCCCGCCCTTCGTTCCAGGCGCCGGCAGCCTCTCCTTCAGGTCGGGGAAGTTCTTCCTCACAACCTCCGCAATCTCCGCGTTGCTGAACCACCCGGCCGTCGTAAACAGCCTCTTGCCCCCGGCCCCGGCCTTCTCCAGCGCCAGAATATGCGCCAGTGCGAGGTCCCGGACGTCGATCCACAGATACGCCGCCCCCGTCGGGGCGACCTCCTCCTTCCACTTGCCCTTAACCAGGTCCACAACCCGCTCGTTGGACGTGTTGATGCTGCTCAGGTCCGCGAAGTGGTGCACCACGGGGCCCAGCACGAGCGGCGGGCAGATAGTCACAAGGTCGAAACCCGGCTTCTCCTTCTCCACAAACTCCCACGCGGCCTTCTCGGCCAGCTTCTTGCTCGCGCGGTACGCCGTCGCCGGGCTGCGCCCGATGTCGTCCACCGTCACGGGGTTCCAGTACTTCTCGCTGAAGACCGTGTTCGGGTCCGCGAGCTTCGCCTCGTCGATGATGGACGCGAAGCTGCTCGTGACGACGACCCGCTTGACGCCGGGCGCGTCGCGCTTGAGGGCCTTGAGGATGGCCGTGGTGCCGACGAGCGCGGGGTCGATGAGCTCCTTCTTGGCGTCGGTCCACTTGAAGTGGAAGGGCGACGCCGTGTGCAGGACGGCCTCGAGGCCGGGCGTCTTGACGACCTCGTCGAAGGCGTCGGGCTGCGCGATGTCCGGGACGATGGCGATGGTGAGGCGCTTGGCGTCGAGGTCCGGGTGGGCGTCGCGGATCTTCTGGGCCTTGTCCTCGGAGCGGACGGTGGTGACGACGTCGTGGCCGCGTTCGAGCAGTTGCTCGAGGATGTGGGCGGCGATGAAGCCGGAGCCGCCTGGGTGAGGGCAGTCAGCGTGATGTCAAGGTGATGTTTCCTTCATCTTGAGACATGAAAGAAGTGAGAAGGGTGAGGGTTCACTTACCAGTAAGAAGAATCTTGGTCATCTTGTCCGTCTTTACTCTTGGGTGGTCAATTGAACTCTCCGGGTGACGATGTCAGTTTTGAAGCAATAATATGAGCTTCAAGCTGTGGTCTCAATATTACTAGTGAAGAAGGTTCCGAAATGCTTCCGTTATTTATTCACGTACCTTTGTGACCCCCAACGCATTACCCCTCCATTGCATGATGAATAACACCAGAATTGCCCCGCTTCGCGCCTATCTCCCCCGCCATTAACTCCCCCGTGGGAGGCCCGGCCCCCATCATCACGTCATTCCGACCACTCAAATGCAATTCATTTGCTTACCCAATCCTTAGCACTTCCTCGGCTTCGTTACCACCGATGTCGCAAGTCCCTTGGATGACACGGAGTTTGCTGGCGATAACAGCGTTGACTGACACGCCGATTGCTCCGATGCGGTCCCAATCGCCGAAATGGGCCGTGATTCCACTGTCCACCCCCGCTGGCCGAAGGATCCGACTCCTTGGCAACCCCGTCCACACTGCCGGGTCGGTCCGTCTCACAGTCGCCGACGGAGCGGCACAGCTGAATCATCTCATGGAACTACACGTCAAGACACTTCCACATGTGGGCTATGCATCAGGTTCTTATTCCTACAAACGAAATAATACAATCGTTCTGTTCGACTTCGACTCTTTGAGCCCAGCTGCTCGCTTAACCACTCCTTGAACGGATGGTGTCAGATTCGCTGCTTTGGGGGGTAAGTCCAGTCAAACCGCTGTGATCGACCGACCGTTTCCTTCCCCATAAATTCTCAATAGCCAGAATCCCAATCTATTTGCCCGACGCCGGCGCCTTTGTGCGAGGCGTTATCAAAGTAAGCCCCAGGGGAGGGGGAAGTTGTTATGTTTTTTGCGTAGAGCGGTTGTCTCGCCTTGTTTTCCACATGTCTTTTCGGGTCCGATTAGTGTCGACCAAAAAAAGCTGCTCCCCCAAACCTGCCGGCCATGCCTTCCTATGTCCAAAGCGAAAAAGCTCGCACGTTCTTCTTTCGAATCGCTAAAACGCCTGCCATGCTGTACCGGTGAATGATACAAGTAAGACAATCTGAGTGCCTCCTCTAGCCGCCTCTCGGCCTCCGCACTCGTGCATGTAACCTTGAAGTGAATGAATGTTTCAAACCAAGACCGGAATACCTCCGATCATGACTTCTGGTTCGGGCCCGGAACCATGCCGCCCGTTGACGCCGGTGGCGGCGGTGCCGGGGGTGGAGTCGCGGGGCCTTCGCTAGGTGGGGGAATGGGTGGGGGGATCTGTTGGCCGATGGCAGCTCCTGCGTTGGCGGGGACCTTCATCGGGCCATTAGGCACCGGCACACGATCGACGAGCTTCTCGCCGCGAATGACCTTCGCAACCTCGTTCTTGTCCAGCGTCTCGTACTCGACGAGGGCCTTGGCAAGGAGGTCAAGTTCCTTGCGCTTGAGGGTGAGAAGTTCACGCACGCGCTCGTACGACTCGCTCAGGGTCCTCTGGACTTCAGACTCGATGAGAGCCTTGGTCTCTCCGCTGAGCTGGTTGTAACGCTTGCCGTACTCCACAGGGCCGAGTTTGGCAGACATGCCGTAAAGTGCGACCATCTGGAAGGCCAGGTTGGTGGCGTTTTCAAGATCCTACAACATGTCAGCAGACTTCAATTGCACTAGGAATTAAAGGACTTACGCTGGAGACACCGGTAGTCACCTTGTCGGTGCCGTAGACCAGCTCCTCAGCAAGCTTGCCGCCCAAAGAAGTCTCAATGAGACTCTTCAAGTCCCTAGTCGTGTACGAGTACTTGTCCATTTCGGGAAGATGCGCGGTGTGACCCAGACTCTGGCCGCGGGGCAGAATGGTAACCTTGTAAAGCTTGTTGGGTCCGCTCTCGTTGAAGAAGGAGACCAGGGCGTGGCCAGCCTCATGGTAAGCAGTCATCTCCTTCTCCTTCGGTCCAATGACCATGCTCTTGCGCTCAGCACCCATGATAACCTTGTCCTTGGCCCACTCAAAGTCGTTCATGCTGACAGTCTGGGCCTTGAGTCTGCTCGCGCGGACAGCGGCCTGGTTGACGATATTCTCCAGCTCGGCTCCAGAGAGACCTCCAGTGCTTGCGGCGATGGCCTCGAAGTTGATCTCAGGGGCGGCCTTGATCTTCTTGGCGTGGTACTTCAGAATAGCGATACGTCCACGGACATCAGGGAGGGACACGGTGACATGGCGGTCGAATCGTCCAGGTCGGGTAAGGGCCTTGTCGAGGAGCTCGGGGAAGTTGGTCGCGGCGATGATGACAACGCCACTGTTCTGCTCGAAGCCGTCCAATTCGGTGAGAAGCTGGTTGAGAGTCTGCTTGTGGTACGCGGCATCCCGAGTGTTGCGTCGTCCACCAATGGCGTCGAGCTCGTCGATGAAGATGATGGCGGGAGACTTGGACTTGGCCGACGCAAAGAGATCACGAACACGCTTGGCTCCAACACCGACGTAGACCTCGTCGAACTCGCTGCCAGACATGTAGAAGAAGGGAACACCAGCCTCGCCGGCAACAGCGCGTGCGAGAAGAGTTTTACCAGTACCGGGGGGACCAACCATCAGAATACCCTTGGGGAGCTTTCCGCCGAGCGTTGAGAACTTGTCCGGGTTGCGGAGGAACTCGACGAGCTCCTGCAGTTCGTCCTTGGCCTCGTCGGCACCGTGAACGTCGGCAAAACGGGTTGTCTGGTTCTCGGCCTTGGTCTCGCTGTCAACCTTGCCACCAGGACGCTTGAACAGGTTCAGACCCTCGACCAGCATCGTCACAGCGACAAGACTAAGGTAGGTGAACAGGCAAAACCAGGCGATGAACTTGATCCAGCGGAACACGACGCCGCCGAAGGACTCGTCGACAACAACGTGCAGCGGGCCCGTCTGTCCGTTACCAGAAACCTTCGCCATAGCCATATTTGAGTCGCGCGAGCGGGCGGCGAGCGCCTGACCCACCGCCTGCAGCTGAGCCTGCGACAGGTTGCCGTTGCCAGTCGGGGTCGCGGCCTGGCCGCTCATCTCGTGGCCGCCGTTGCCGAACGCGGACGGGAGGTGATCGTGACCGCCGAGGCCGCCGACGGCAGCAGTGCTCTGCATGCCGAGGGCCTGGTTGTAGGCCTGGTCGGTGGCGTCGTTGGTTGCGAAGCGGCCGGAGTTGTAGCGTTCGATGACGATGGCGGGCATGTTGGCCTTGAGGAGGAGCTGGTAGAATGCGGTCTGCGCGGTGGCGCTTTGGGGGTTCCTGTTAGCAGCCGCCTCTCTGCTGGCGAGAAGGTTGCGAGAGATTCCGTGGTTCGTTCCGAGGTGTCGTTGCTGGAGGGCGAGGCCGAGGCCCAGGGTTGCCCTCATGGGAGAGGAGGGAATTGCCGGGCGAGCGGCGGAGAAGGTTGCGAGCTTGAGTACCGACTGCATCGTTGCGGGCTGCATTGCCGCGCGCCGAAACAGCGGACTGGCGAGTGCCAGCGCTGCTGGGCGTAAGGCCATGATTGCCTCACGGAGGTGGACGGGCAGATGCGGTTGATGGCGCAGTCCAGGAGAGGTGTATGTGGTCGAATTGGGTGTTTGTCAGATGCAGAGAGCAGTACGGACAGACTCTCTCGTTGGAGCAACAGCGCCCCTTTCCGCGAAGGAGAATAGCAAGAGAAAAAGATCTTCTACTATTGACGTCTTTGGAGTTGCGCTTGTGATGAAGATGACATGGTTCACCGCAGGCTATTCGTCGTCTTGTTGAGAGGCGACGCAGCAAAGACCGAAAGTGGACGGATATGGATACGTTGAGGCGAAATGCGCTAGTTGACGTTATTGCACCCTGCCTGCTTTGCTCGGTTTGCTGCTGGCGGGCGGGCAGGTGGTGGTGCTGGGGCCTGAGGGTGAGGGACCACGCCAGGTTCGTCGCTGCCTTCCGAATTTTTCCCTGCCTCCGAGACGCCGCCGTGACCGGGGAGCGCGCGCTGCTCGGCTGAGCGAGCGCAAAGAGGGGCCACGTGACGTAGTGCATTCTAGAATATGCCCGGGACGACGGAAGAAGGCTGTTCCGACGGACATTTCAAGATGAACAGGGGCAAAGGCCTCAATGGGCCATGCGCCATTGGCTGATATCCAGCTGTCAAATGAGACAACACAGCATCTCGAGCTTTGCGAAGTTTGAGAGTTAATACTCACAGAAATGAGCTTGAGTATGGAGAGTGGCAATGGTAATTATAAAGAATAAGTTTACCTTCTCATCCGTGACCATGGGTGATGTCGACACAAACGCATCTGATTGGCCATAATTACCCAAGACTTACAGCCAATCACACAATTTCCTTCAACGAACAAGGTGAGACCCCCCAGTCCATCACCGCCAAACAAATGCACGCATCCCTCCGGATTCAGCCAGACGGCGCAGATCAATCATCACCCAAAAAGCCATCAATCTACGCGCCCGCCGCGCGCTGCTCCGTCAAGGTTGCGCCCCTCCTCATATTACACATCATCTCCGGCTTTTCCTCCTCTTTTACCACGCCGCTTTTCTGCACTTCTGCCTTGCCCAAAATCCCCTCACTTCTCTCACAACCGGGAATGATCGCTCGTTGCGAACACTGGCTGTCGGCGGCCTTGACGACAACAGGCTATCGCTTGACGATCTAGATGTCGAGCATCACTTCAACCGAACTCTTACAGCAACTCGGAAAACCCGATGCCTCGGCCCCAGAACCGCCTCCCCTGGTCACGGCTCTCCCGGTCCAGCCTGCCTTCATAACGTCGTTAGATTTCATCAACACGCCGCCGCCCACTTACACGACTATTTCTGTTCTACATTCCACGGCATATGCAGTATGGAGTCGACCTAGCAACGGCCGACATCCCTCATATTCCCGCACAACCCCTTCAACCCATCGTCCTCAGTTTGCCCATCGACAAGACACCAAAAAAAAATCTTCCGGCCAACGAAGCTGCCTCACTCACGCCAGCATCTTGCCATGCAGTAGTCACTTGCTATCATCTCATCCTCCAAACGCTCAAATCAAACCGGCCCTGCTCTCCCACCGGAATCAAACAAACGACCCAAGCTAACACCTCACCCACGGCGCTTCATCTGCACGAATACGTGTCAACCGCACTCTTTCACCCGGCACTAACATCACCAAATCCCAACAGGCTAAAATCAACCCATCATGCGCCCCCGGGCCTTCAGGCTCATCTCTGACTCATATAACCAGCACGCTCCTCTAGGGAAGGAAGCTTTCATTGACAGATTCTTTATTTTTGTCCCGGCTACAGGTATCGCGGTTTTCTTTCCAGAACTATCCTTTTTGTTGCTCATTTCCGTGCCCCCTTTTCCCGGCATTCCAGAGAGAGTAAAACAACCAAAAGCCGAACCAAGACAGCAAGAAACGAGGAACACTAAAAATACATATAGACAACCAAAGCCTTTCTCTTCCTCCTCTCTTTCCTCACCTTTCTGAAAGTAGGGTCGTCGCCTTCCCCATCTCTCATGTGCCTTCCCTGGCCACCACCTCCGAATACAACCCGCTGTGTTCTAGGGAATGCGCCGCCGCCGCCGGACAAAAAAGTATCGTCGACTTCGTGTTGTTGTTACAGGGAAATGGTTTTTGTTTTCCAAGGAGAGAGCAAAACAGGAAACTTTGCCGACCCAACCGAAAAGCCTGTCGTGTATCAAGGCGTTTTCCCCTTCTTCTTGACCATCCCTTTATACCTCCTTCCCCTTTTCCCCGATTCATCCACCATTATGAAATACATCCTCCCACATCACCCGTTTCCGCTTTCTTCCCCTTCCAGGTTCGTAGGTAAAAAGGGCCGTCAAATATTCGGATATCGTCAAAATGATTTCCCCAACATGTTTCTCCCCTGCCCCATATCTCCCGCCCCAGCTCCGGTTGTTATGCTCCAGGTTTGCTTTCATGGCATCATGTCATCGAGAGGGCCCAGAGTCGACGGACTTGCCAACCTGATCCCCCAACGAGAAAGAATGAAAATGAAAATGAGGGAAAGGAAAGAAGTATGGAAAGAGAACGTATTAATAGACAGCAAAAACCGCCGCCAGTACCGGAGCTCCCCTATTCAAAGTGTCAAATCCCCAACGGCCCACCAACCAACCCAGAACAAATTATTCGGAAACCACCAAAAAAAAAAAAGCACAAACAGGCCTCCAAATGATACATCCCAACCAAAAATTTCAGATGCGCGCATGTTCGACGTCCAGGGGTAATCGTATGTTGTCTGACAAAGGAAACGGTTTTGCCTTGAGGCGAAAACAAAAACGGCCTGCGAGACCATCGAGGCGAGGAATCGAAGCGGACAGGTCCGATGACCCGGGAAGGGCGGGTGCGAGTATGCGTGAGCGTATCATCCCGTCCCTTGTTCGAAGCAATTCTTGTTCTTGACGAAGAATTACTCAGACATCTCGGCCGGCGAGGGCCAATGTTGTTGTGCTGGGCGAGGGTGTTGAAACCCAGAAAAAACAAATTACCACCAATGTATGCTTTTGGGGCTTAGTTGGACTTTTCTGTTCCCTTCTTTTCTCTTTCCAGTACCGTCAAGCCAACGAACGGACGACAGACAGGGAGGGGGCTGTGTGGCTCAATGCCCATTAGACCAATCCAGAGTTCGCTCTCTTTCAACAGTCGACGACAGCTCGGTTCTGTGGAGCCCGCGTGGTATCTCCTTCTCTTGCATTCAACGAGTTGGGGGAATATGAAAAAAAAATCAAATCGCCATCATGTTTTAGGGTGTTGGTACAGGCGGGTCGCCCGAAGTAGGGCTCTCCGCGGAGGAACGGTGATTATGTATCGAGAAGAACGAGGTTTGATGGTGGAGCGCGGCGGCAGCGCCAGAGTCGAGACACGATGTCGTGGCCTACAGGTTCTCGATCCGGGCTGAGGGAAGCTGCATCGACGGGTCCTCGAACTCGATCTTGGGTCCTCCCCAAGGGTCGTAAACGCCGGAGCCGTACGTCGGGAGCTGGCCGATCGTGGCAACCTCGACCGGTGCCTGATAGGGAACGCCGTTCCAGTACTCCTCGGGCTGAGCCTGGGGTGTTGGGGACGCGTACTGGCTCGGGACCTGCTGTTGAGGAGGCGGCGCGGGCGCCTGCGTCGGGATCGGTTGGGGGGTATGAATCTGCTGTTGCATCTGTTGCGGGTAGGGGACCATGCCCGGCTGCTGGTGCTCGACGACGGGGGAGGCATTGTGCAATGCGTACGTGGCTGCTTGAATTGGTTGGTGAGTGTAAAACCCTTCCTGGGAGGATGGGCTCCTACCCGAAGCTGCCGAGAAGCTACTCGGGCTGCTCTGAATTGACTGGTTCATACCAGCGGCAGAGTATGGCATGTCAACCTGCGGTTGCTGCTGCCGAGGCACTTGGCCGTACTGGTTCTGCATGGGGTTCGTGTTCATGGTGGCGACCCCCGGGTTGTTCTGCTCCGTCACGTAGTACGAATGCTGGGGCATGCTCGCGGTTCGGTGCAGCATCTGCACACCGGGGTGTTGCTGCTCGTGGACAGGCTGGCCGTGGAACTCATGGGCGCCGCCTGATGAAAGGCTGTGGCGGTGAGCGCCGTACTGGGCTTGGGGTTGTTGCTGCATCGGGTAGCCGTTCATGTGCTGTCCGAAGTCGGCGAAGGAGGCGGCTCGGTGCATGGCGTGGCCGCCGTGCATGCCAGGGTGGTTCATGGCCATGACGCCTTGAGGAGGCCACTGCATGCCTGCGTGCTTCGGGGTCGAAGGTGACTCGCCGCTGTCCGAGTCCGAGGTGCAGTCGTCCATGAGCTCGTTGGGGTGAAGACCACGCTGGTGAGATCTTCTTTGGTGCTTCACCATGGTGGTCTTGCGGCAGAAGCTGTAGGGTTGATTAGTGTCAAACTCTTGCAGGATGGAGGGATGGATGATTTGAAGTCTACCTCTTGAGGCAACCATCGTGTGCGCACTTGTACGGGCGTTTGCCAGTGTGGATGCGGCGATGTCTGGCCAAACTTGAGGACTGCTGAAGTCAATACGGGATTCATCTTCCAAGAAGTCTTGGGGGGACATACATCAGAGAAGCGCTTCCCGCAACCGATGTGCTGACATTGATGCGGCTTCTCTCCGGTGTGAGTACGGATGTGGACAGTGAGAGCACTTCGCTGGATGAAGCTCTTGCCACAGCCAGGTGTCGTGCAGGAGTAGGGACGCTCGTTGGTGTGAATGCGGTAGTGTCTCTGCAAGTCAGACTTCCTGTTGAAGCTCTATGGGAAAGACGTCAAGATTAGAATCCGTCCACAGACGGGGCAAGGCGGAAGAAGGACGCAGGGTCGAGTGACCCCGAGTTCTGGGAACTCACCTTGTTGCACGATTGCCAGTCGCACTGGAAGGGGCGAGCGGTAGGCTCGTTCTCAACAAGCTCCATGAGTTCCATCTCTTTGGGATTTTGT